GGGCTGTTCCAGGCGCCCGTCTTTGGCAGGAAGCGGGGAGGCCTTGTGCTGCTGCAGACCAGCCTTGTAAAGCTGCCTGCGCTTTCGCATCAGCAGATTCCAGCCTGGAGCTTCAGTGGCAGCCAGCAGAGGCGCGCACAGCACACACACACACACAGACACACACAAACACAAACCCCACCACAAGCCTTGTGTGTTTAAAAAAGCACATAGAAAGCCCTGTACGCGCAGGCACTCCGAGGCCACGCCAAGTGTGTGTGTGTGTGTGTGAGGGGACGCAGGGGGGCTGCAAGGCCAGGGGGGGTGAGGATTACACCCAGTATGCAGCCCCGAGCGAGCGCCGCACACGGAGACAAAGTGGCCGTTTGAAAAGCTGGTCGGCCGCCAAGGCAGCCTGCCTGCAAGTTGGCACGGAGACAAAGTCAGCTGGGGACGTTAAAGCTGGCGGGAGACGGAGGCTCCCAAAGGCTATTTTTTTGTGGGGGAGCAGATGCCCGGAGCTGCCCCAAACTTCACACACCTCGAGGGGGGAGCTGGGGCTGCCCCCTGATTTTTTTTCAGATTTTTCCCCCCACCCCAAAGGGGTTTATTCAAGTGTAGAAAGTTGCGTAGGGGGAAAAAGGACCAGGCTTTTCTCAGTTCACCCTGTGTTTTTTTCCCTCCCTCTCTCCCCGTTGCCTTCCACAATCGCACGGAAAGGGCTGGCAGCTCTTGGGGGGGGGCGCACGGGGACCCTCTTGCTTTATTTGTGGCCACCCCTCTTCTGGAAAATGTAGGGTGACCAAGTCCTTGGGGCGAACTGGAGGGGTCCTCTGATTCCTGTGGTTGGAACAGAATTGGGGGGGCGCAAATTTTTCCCCTTTTAGGGGGGGAAACGCCCCACATGGATCCAGAGGGGGCTCCCTGCCAGGACTGGATGGCAGCTGGGCAGAGTCAAGCCTCCGCTTTCCGTGGGGTGGATTTTTTTTAAGGGCTAAAATAAGGCTTCTGGAAACCTCGAAACCCCCCCTCCCGCCGAGGGTCTGGATGGGGGCAGT